GGGATCCATGTATAACCTGGAAGTGACTGTGGCTAATGGGGCACCTTCAGCTCTAATCTTTGTTGTGCCCTGGCCCCCTCCCTTGACCTTGGGCCCCGTCCAGTCATTCTGCACTGTTTCCTAATTTCAGTTGTTCTATGAACCCAAATGAAGAAGTCAGGGAAAGGCATGTGGTGTGGCTGTAGAGTCTGGGGAGGATTCTGGGCCTAGAGTATCGCTACCCACTCAGGCAGCTGTGGGTATAGGGAAAGGTCTTCCTTGTGTTTCCCTGAAGCTTTGCTTGCTAGCAAAGTCATGCACATTCAAAATATCTGAACATTATCCTTAGAAACAGTTGTTCCAAATTTGTTGAACAGGAAAGTGATTCAACTTTTCCCTAACCAGGACTTGTGCAATTAGAGACTCCCAGAGCCTATGTTTGCTCAGGGATGAGGCTGGGGCTCTGGCCTGACAGGAGGTCTCAGCCAGAGATGGAGACAGCAGGAAATCAGCCAGTGACTCACAGGAGACTAAGAAACCACTCAGATTTGGATGAACCAGAAAATCCCTAGGAGCTAACTAGGAAAGACCACACCTAGTCTCCTGAAACAGCTGAAACCCAGTGTCTGTCATTTTCTGACTCAGGAAAGTCCTTTCACTGGAACCAGCCCCAAAGAATTTTGAAGTGCAAGCGCAAAGGCGTTCCCAAGGGTGACTTAATGCTTGCCACTTTTCAAGAGTGTGACCTCAGTTTTGCCCAGAGAAATCTAGTAGAATCATGAAGCCCTAAGGCTCCGAGAGGTTATTTATCTGTAATCACACAGCTAATTAGTGCCAAATAATAGTCAACATCTTGGATAAGAAGTGCCACATTGTTAAACAAATGCTAGGAACTGCTTCCCACCTAGCTGAAAGCCTTGCATCACTCATATTCCCGGTCTCTCTTTAAAATGTCTCAAGATTTGCATTGTGACATAAGCATTACTTTAATTGATCAGTAAACATTTATTAAGTGCCCAGTATGTGCCCGGCATTGTTCCATTATTGTTTCCATTTGCATCTGGAAATATTACACCTCAAAAATTGCACCCCAAAAAACTGCAAAGGGAAGAAAGAAACTATGTGTTAAAAATAAGTTACAAGAAAAATTCCAAGTTTAAAAAAAATCTGCAAGGCAAAGGGACATAATAGAAAAAGAATGCTGCCCTTGGAGTTAGGAAAGACCTGGGTTTGAATCATAGCTCTGATATGACTTGGGTTCTCAGTGTTCTTATTTGCGAAACAGGGAGGCTGATACTTGCACAGTGACAGAGACAGCTGGAGGCATAATTATAGGGCAGTGGCCATGTTGTGTTCTTTCTGTTGGAAGGGTGGTTGGAAAGAAGGAAGATGTGTGGTTTTTTAATTATAAAACTCTATGTAAATATGTGTTATATCATAGTTTTGTAGCTATGGGATGATAACCTGAAGGGGGCCATATTGGTTTTGACTCCCCACGGTACCATTTTTGATCTTTTTGATCCAGTCATTTCCCCTGTAGAAGCCTCAGTTTCCTTATCTGTAAAAATTAGAAGAGTTTGACTAGGTCCAATCGCTAAAGGGCCCTTCCAGCCCTGGAATTTCTTTGTGTCTGTGAGGTTATTGGTTTTTTGTTGTTTTTGTCAGACAGAGAGAGACCAAAATGATATCCCAAAACAAGGCTGTTGCAGGGGGTGTGGTGAGGGTGACACATGCCACAGACTAGGTGGGGCCTGGGTGCTTTATGGTTAAGTGATGACTTAGATGAAAGATCAGAATCAGACTCTCAGAGCTAAAAGGGATCTCAATGGCCATGTATTCAACCTATTCCTGAAAAAGGTTTCCCTCCACAACGTGCCTGGCAAATGGCGGTCCAGCCTTTACTTGAAAGATCTCCATTGAGAGAAGAGTCTAGACATCCCAATTCCTTTCACAGAGACTCTTGGAGCATGAACTTGAGGCCTACCATGACTTCGGCTGCCTTCCTCTGAATGATCTCCATCTAATCAGTGTTCTCTCTAAACTGTGACACCCAATGAACCAGTTCATTGGTTTATTCTCCCAATCCTAGGTTTCCTCTCATCAAAATAGGAAGTCTCCTGATTTAATGGTGGGGTTTTTGATTTAATGTTACAACTCTAAATGTGGTGGGGTAAGACTGGGGCAGAGTAAAGTGGGACTATCACCTCCTTATTTCTGAAAAACTTGCCTCTCTTGATTCAGTCTAAGATGGTGCTAGCCATCCAAGATGGCCTCCATGCTTCACTGCTAAATCACATTGGTCTTTCAGTCCAGCAAAACTCCCACGTGTTTCAGGGGATAGAGAAGAAAGAGGAAAGAAATACTTCCACAGGTTAATGAATATCCAAACACACCCTTGCCTTCAAGCTCATTCTGGAGCCCACCTCCATCTTGTTTATGCATCAGAAGGGTCTATTGTAAGCAAAATTGTGTCCAATGTACAGGATGCTTTGGGTGCCTCTGGAAATTCAACATCAAATGTGCTGAACTATATACTTTGGAGAAGCCAAAATACTATCCCCAGCAGGCATAGATCACCCCTCCCACTTACCCATCATCCTTTGCTTACTGCATCCTTCAGAGCACCTATATCCCCCAACCTAAAAACAGATTCTGGATTATGATAATTCATCAACAGCCCAGGCAGAACTAAAATACGACTTCTGGGTAAAGATTCTTTGGAGCCTTTCTTGACATAACACCAAGCCTTAGTACTTAGCCAGACCTTGCACATAGCAAAGAAAATGAGTCTCTTTTTTCATAGGCTCAGAAAAAAAAAATTTTGTTCTTCAGCGTCAAAACATTTTTTTTCTTTTCCGGAGCTCATAAATATGGGGCCATAGAAATCCAATACAGCAAAAACTGCTGATCCCATAGGATTTTCTTACTTAAAAGAAAAAAGATTTCAGATGAATTCCTTTGTAGCTATTTTCCCTCTAACACCATAATTCCTAAACAGCAAAATTTCCAGGCCTCTTGAAGACTTCAGAGCTTAAATTTATCATCTGAGGCAGCTGTGGTATAGTGGACTGGGCATTGAGATCTGGATCCCAAGGCCTAGCTGTTCCATTAACTTTCTGCATGACTTTAAGCAAATCAGTTCCCCTCTGGGACTCTTGTTTCCTCATCTGTAAAATGGGGTGGTCAGCCTATATCAAGGATTTTCAACTTTTGTGTCCCACGGACTCCTTTGACAGTCTTGTGAAGCCCAGGGACGCCTTCTCACAATAATGTGGTGTGTATTTTTTTTTAACTCATCATTGAAGGAAATACTATATTTCAGTTAGAGGTTAATGAAAATTAAGATGTAATTTTTTTTCCATCCAAATTCACTGACCTCTTGAAATCTACTGTGGATCTACATTTAAGAACCATGTAGATCCCTAAAACTGTATTAGAGAGCCCAGTGTGACCTGGAAATTGTTTGAAGTTAAATTTCTGGTCAAGTCTTTTCCCAAGTAAGTAAAGGGAAGAAATAGCCAGGGCCTAGGCGTGGTCTTCCTTAAGACACATAGAAAGGATTTTCTGGTTTCTCCAAACCCAGGTGACTTCCTGTTCCCCTGTGAATCATTATCTACTTCCTTTCTATCTAAGACTGAACTATTGTAGACAAGAATTTCTCCAATTGCTACTCCAAGAGAGTTTGAAAGGCCAGAGCCCTGGCTGTATCTTGAGCAAATTTCTACTCAGTCTTTAGTCTAATAGAACAGAGCCCTTGACAAGAATGTGAAGTGGGGAAGTTTGTTTTCTGCATCTTTCCATCCTCTGTTCAGTCGACCTCTCTTCATAAGTCCTTCATAGTCATCATTATTATGACATATTATTCATTCACCTAGGGAATCTAGGTGGCTCTGTGGCTAAAACACTGGAGTTGGAGTTCAAATCTGGGCTCAGAGACTTACTAGCTGTGTGACCCTAAGCAAGCCACTTCACCTCTGTCTGCCTCAATGTTCTCATCTGTAAAACAGGGACAATAATAGCACCAACCTTCCTAAGTTGTTATGAAGATAAATGAGATCATCTTTTTAAAGTAAACCTCAAAGCCCTATAGAAATGCTAGTTGTTATTATATTATACCTCGTCTGCCAAAGCACATCCCTCTCCCATCCCCCACCTCACTGCAGCTGCAGGTTAACCTTTCCCAGATGGTGTCACTGGTGGGGAAGATCAGCTTATTTTTAGGACTCCCCCTGCCCCATTAACTCTTCTATTACAATTTACTTATTAAAAAATATTTACTTATCACACAATCTCAGAGCTGGAAAGAATTTCAGGGGCCCACTGGTCTAACCCATAACCTGAACAGTTATATAATATTTATCAATCAATCAACATTGATTGATTGATTGATATGTTGTATGATAATACAAGTGGTCATCTGGCCTTTGCTTGAAGACTTTTAGTGAGTGAGAATCCTGCTTTTCTCAAGGGAAGACATTCCACTCTTTGATATTCCAAATTGTTAGGAAGTTTTCCTTTATAAAATCTAAATTTATCTATTGGCAGTGGCTACCTGTTTCTCTTGGCTTGGCCTTCTGTGGCCAAACAGAAAAGTCTAATCTCTCCTCCAGAGGAGAGTCCCTTGAAGCCAGCTCTCAGGATCCTTTTTCTTCTTTTTAGAATTTTTCTTATTACCTTAGTGCTTGTCTAGTTAATTAGCATGAAAGTATTAAAGGCTGATAGCAGCATTGAGTTACCAGACTCAGAAAATATATGCGTATTTTAAGGCTTGCTTTAGACTTGGCTGCTAGCCCAGGAAGAATTTGTTACCAATTGAAGAGATATTTTTGAACAGGGTGTCCCGGCTCATCTGGGTGTTCCTCAAACCATTGTGTAGTCCAGAGGCCAGGTGGTAGATATTCAAAATGGTGCTGCCTCTTGGCCTGGGATGCAATGGTTGCTTACACCGGTGATGGGCTCCATAGGTTGAGGTCTGATTAGCCCATCCTGAACTGTCTGTCCCTCTCTCTGCTTTCTCTTAGATCACTCGAACAGTATCAGAACGCACTCACTGCTTGCCACATGGACAGCTCCCCTCAGTCTCCGGACATGGAGGCCTTTGCTGATGGAGATTCCACCAAGGCACCAACTTCTCGTGGAACCCCACAGACCCCTAAGGATGACCCTGCCATCACCCTTCTCAATGACAGGAACAGCCTTCAGTGTAAGTTAATGGAGCAGGTCATGGGAGCAGTATCTGTAGGAGACTGCCAAGGAATTAAGAGCCTCCAGTCTCTCTGGCTGCCAGTCTGTCACTGTGGTCCTGGGCCTCAAGCAGGTCCTCTGGACCACTCCCGATCAATGCAGCAGCTTGGTGTCTTTTACAGGCAGCCGGACAGATGCTTTGAAGAGCCCTAGTGAAGCAGTGTACCTGAAGATGGAAGAGATCTCCTTCGTTCAGGAGGAAGTAAATGCCGAGGAGGAGTGCAGAAGCCCTCAGTTTGTGCTCCCGGCCGCTGCTCTTCCACCCAGACCAGGTCAGACGGGGCTGCAGTTCGTAGGATTTTAGAATGGGAAGGGCGCTTGGAGATCTTCTATGTACCCTGTTCTCCCCCATTTTACAGGGGAGAAAACCAAGGCTCTGACAAAATGGCTTTCTTAGGTGCCAGTCATAATAACTAACATTTCATATGGTGTTTTAAGGTTTCCTATTCACTTTACATATGCTACCTCATTTGATTATCACAACAACCTGGTGGGGTAGATGCTGTTTTCATTCCCATTTTGAAGATGGAGAAACTGAGGCCGAGAGAAGCTAACTGATTTGCCTGAGGTCACGCAGCTAGTTAGTGTCAGGGGCAGGATTTAAATTCAGGTCTTCCTGTCTCCTAAATCCAGCATTCTATCCGATCTATACTGCCTGGCTACTAAGTGGCAGAGTGGTGGTTGGAACCTGGGGGTCTTTCTACCGCAAAAGGAATATGGGAATGCTCACCTGTTAGTAGGAGAGTGGCCAGTGAGGCTGAGCAAAGGGAGCATTCGGATTTGACTTGATTCTGATGCCCAGGGGAGCTTGATTCTGATGCCCAGGGGAGAAGTTCACTTCCCTTAATTCTGCAGGTGCTGTAGGTGGTCATTATCCTGACCTGCCCAGCCCTGGACCTTCTTCAGGCTCTTAAAGGTGCTGTCCACCCAGAATTAACCTTCCAGACACTAGCTCCTCTGACTGCAATGCACCCGGGGGACTTGTACCCATAGGGCTTCCACTTCTACTTTGTAAATCACCGTAATCACAGAACCCTAACCTGAGACTAGGCCTCCTAGACCTGCCTGGCCCCTCAGCCACTTTTGATCAGTGATGTCAATACCACCACTGTATCTGGCCCAAAGTCCACCTCCTCCTTGACATTCTCGCCCCTTACACAGATCCAGACCACCAGATTATTTAGAAGGGAAAACAGCATGTAGATATATGTATAGTGTTACACTACCTAAATATACATATGCACATGTATACATGTCTATATATGCACATACATATATTCAGAAATAATACATCAGGAAGAGGTAAGTATAATAGTTTATAAAATAAATCGGAATAATTCAAGTGAGAGGTTCTTCAGTTATCTACTTGGTCCACATAACAACTTATGCTGTGCAAGTAGAAAAATAATATTGATTTTCACCATGTTGCTGACTATACATCAGCATGGTAAGGAGAAAAGAGCAGGCTTCAGAAAAAATACATACATACATATGTATATATATATATGTATATATATATACATATATATATATATACACACACACACACACACACACAGACACACACATACGCACCTATACACACATATATAGATATATACATATCTGTATCCATAAAATGGGATGATTGGACTACATGTAATCTCATCTTGGACTCAGACGACCCCAACCTGGGGAGTGTGACCAGCCTCTCCAGCAGTGACTTTGAGGAGACGCTGGGCAAGAAGTTGCTGAGAACTTTAAGTGAGTAGATCCCCACCCATCTGGAAAGTTTCTAGGCAGAGAAAGCCCAGGAGGTGCTGTCTTCAAGATGGAATCATTGGGGGCAGCTAGGTGGTGCAGTGGATAGAACACGGCCATGGAGTCAGGAGGACCTGAGTTCCTTAACTAGAATTGTCCAACCCCAACCCTAACCTAGCCCTTCTAGGTGAGGTGGTCTATTCATGGTTCCCAAGCTTGTAGGACTCAGGGGTCTCAGGACCCCTTTATACTCTTAATTATTGAGCCCCCCCCACCAAAGAGTTTGTGTTTATGTGTGTTATATCTATTGATATTTACCATATTGGACATAGTACTATTACAAAACATTTTTATCCCATTGACCCCCTTGAAAGGGTCTTAGGGACCCCCAGGAAAATGGCACCCATCCAGAAATCTTCCATCTGGACTCTTTAGATCAAAATCTTTGGTTCATTCTTCTAATCCCAGGTTCCCTCTCAGCAAAACAGGAAGTCCTGATTCAATGGCAGGGTTTGGTATTCCACGCATATTGCAGCTACATAATCACTTAGCTAATTCAGTAAACATTTACCAGGCTACAGACTATTGCTATGCCCTGGGGACATAGAAAGTTTAAGCAAGACCCTGCTTTCATTGATGTTAAAGTTTTTGAGAGTACAGGAAAGAATCTGCAAAAGTTTTCTCCTTCAGAATAATTCAACCCAACCCACAGGTCAGCCCTGTAGATTCACAACAGGCGACCTTGTTTCCTTCACTGCTGACAGAGATTATTCTGGCCAGTCATTTTCCTATACTTAATGGGATGAGTGTTGTGTCAGTTTCTCTGGGGGTGGGTGCCCACCAAATCTGCCCATTGTTATTAGAACTCCTAACCCCAGTGCCTAAGCTCCTAGGATTCAGCTCATGAACCTGATTTCATCTCCCTCATATTTTGAAACTGACCCCAATCCACAGCATGGGGACCTTTATATTTTAAGGTGAACCCTGAGGTGCATTCCTCCAGGTCATAAGTACCTACCTGGCTAAGACCAGAAGAGAGCCAGGTGATTTTGTTTGGTTCCCAGAGTGGAGTGGGTTTGGTGGGAAAGACAATCAGCGGAGTACAGTAGAAACTCATCCTTGCTATTTACTAATTATGTAACCTTAGCCGCTTCATCCATCTGGGCCATTTCCTCATAAAGAAGGCAGGGGGTTGTAGTGGCTGCTGTCTAAGATTGATTGCTTCCAGCACTAAATCTGCCATCCTAAAGTTATTTCCCATTTTTCCTCCTCCCTCCTCATTTCTTAGAAACAGACAGTGAATGTTGTAATCTCATCTTGGACTCAGACGACCCCAACCTGGGGAGTGTGACCAGCCCCTCCAGCAGTGACTTTGAGGAGACGCTGGGCAAGAAGTTGCTGAGAACTTTAAGTGAGTAGATCCCCACCCATCTGGAAAGTTTCTAGGCAGAGAAAGCCCAGGAGGTGCTGTCTTCAAGATGGAATCATTGGGGGCAGCTAGGTGGTGCAGTGGATAGAACACCGGCCATGGAGTCAGGAGGACCTGAGTTCAAATCCAGTCTCAGACACATAACATTTACTAGCTGTGTGACTCTGGGCAAGTCACTTAACTCCTATTGCCTCGACAAAAAAAAAAAAAGATGGAATCATTGGATGACTTTGAGTGGGCCAGAACTAGGACCATTATTTTCACCAGTGGGCTCAGGACTATTGCTGTTCCATTGGGGAAGTATCTCATTCAGTAAGTACCCAGGATTCATTAACCAATTTGCCAAGCAAACTAAAAGAAATAAATTCAACATAAAGTAAAAACCAAGGTTAAATACAGTCCATTCCTATAAATGATGATTACAGTTTTAGAGCTGGGAGAGACTTTAAAGGTCATGTAGTCCAATCATCCCATTTTATGGATACAGATATTGAGGCCCAGAGAGGTTAAATAATCTGCCCAAGATCACACAGGTAGTAATGTTGTGGTGTTGTGGTGTGTTGTGAGGTCGTCTCAAAGAGTTCAGAGTCAGACCACCTCTAATCAAATATAGGCATTTATTGGGAATGATGCCTCCAAGTGTCTGAGTTCTAAGAGGGTGGATTTTTATAGGGTAAAGATGCAATTAGGTAACAGAAATTATGAATATGAAAAAGACAGGAGGGGTCTGTTAAGGGATTAGGTAATAGGGGAGGGGTCCCAGCCTCAGTGGAACTTCGCTTGCAGTTGCCCACAATGCATACAGAATAACCCATTTGGGGGGCAAGTATGTATGATAATGATATTATAATAAGCCTCTCTACATCATAAGTTCACCTAAAGGACAGCTTTTGCTAGCACAGCACAAATGCCTACTTAGGGAAAGTCTCTTCTACTGTTTTGGGGTCCACATCCTGCTTGGGCATCCTGGTGGTGCTGCTGCTTCTGATTGGTTGACTATTGTGGTCCTGTCTGAGATTAGATGGATGTGGTTGTGGTTGAGTGTGTGGACACACCTGCTGTTTCCATGGGAAATATGAGGAATGGGTCTGGGGGCAGTGGCTAGCTAGCACATGGACACACTTGCTGTTTCTGTGAGAAATGTGAGTTCATAGACACATCTGTTGTTCTGCTAAGGCAGTGAGGCATTTTTAAGGAGTTAGGATACTGAGTCGGTGGGGGGTGGGAGGTGGCTAGGTAGGGGCAATGGGCCTGCTCTTCAATGAGGCCTATGATTGAGTCAGGGGCCTGCAGTGTAGTTAAAGCTAGATTATGTGGTCAAATCAGGACATGCCTACTGTTTAGTGAGGCCCATAAGGAAGTCAGAATGTTTGTACTGGGGGCAGCTTTATTAGGATTCCATCAATAAATGGCAGAGATCACATCTGAACTCAGATCCCCCTCTGACTTCAAATCCAGCACTCTGTCCATTGTATAAAGCAAGCTACCCTTGACCCAAATTGATTTTTTTCAGTAGAGCTCTTACTTTTGTTTCCTCAAGAATCTTACTTTATTGTTCCCACAGTATGTCATAGTGGATAGAGTTTGCCTGAGAGTTAGGAAGACCTGGGTTCTAGTTCTGGCCCTGATACACCCTGGCCATATGACCCTGGGCAAGATACATAACTTCTAGGTGACTGGAGCAACTTGGTAACGCTATATGTTGCAGAGAATGTGCTAACACTGGTAGGAGTTCCCTTTCCCAATGAAATGTCTGGTCCAGTTACTGTCCCTATCGATACTGCTAATTGGGCAGACTCCTGGCAACTAGGCACGAGTCTCAGCTGCTCCCACTAACACAAGGGACTCTTGGTTTAGCAAGATATGTGTTAGAGCAATTACCCTAAAAAGGCAACATGGAATGTGAAGGCTGAGAACAGGGAAATGGTCTCCAAGGGAGAGTCAATTCAGCAAGCTTCCTATGTGCCAGGCACTGTGCTAACCTCAGCAGGTACAGAAAGACAAATAATCCCTGCCCACAAGGAGCTTACAGTCTAATTGGGAGGGAAGTAGGTATTATAAGGTACTCCATGGGCTTTAAGTTCGCCCATGAAATTTCATTTCAGTGATGAGCAGCTGCCATTTCTTGAACTAGGGGTCATTTCATTTTGTCCTCCTCCTCTTCAGAGAGAAGCACCTTCTTAATCCTAAGAAGAACCCCCCCATCCCCCTTCCAAAATACTTATAATGGCAAATGTGATGATTGCTTCCTTATTTCACTGAACTGGAATTTAACTTCCCCCCCCCCCAAGTTAGGATTATTTCACTCTAGTCCAACCTGCCATTTTTTTCACTTCTTTTATTTATCTTCTGAGGGAAGTGGAATGTATTATGGAATGTAAATATGGATTCTTTTAAAATAAGGTTTTGAAATGCTTCACAAATGGATCCTGAATCTTGTAATATCTTTTCAGGTGTTGGGAAAAGGAAGAGGTCGCCAGATGGGGAAAGGACCCCAGAGGAGAATTCCAATTTAACACCTCTAATCACATGACAGGAAGTGATGCTTGAACATTAGGTGGGTGGATGGATTTCCACATGCTTTGGGAAAGACCGTCCTTCTATCATCTCCTCCATCCCCAGAGACCTGCCAAAGGCAATAAGGCACCATGTTTTTTTCCTCCATGTTTCCTAGATGTCAATTTCAGCAAATATTTCCTCTCACCTCCATTCTGGCTCAGAGCCTTGCTGTTTTATAAAGGAAACCAGTGCCTTGAATGGAATATTATGGAAATGGTTCTGACACCATGAAGAAGCGACCACAGCTTACCAGCACTCCCTTCGCGACCCTTCTTTTCCAGTTCCCTGGTGGATCTTTGGGATCCCCTGATGCTAGGTTAGGCCATCTGTTTTCACTTCATCGGCCCTTTCTCTAGGAAAGAAAGCCATTGTTGACCCAGTTGAAACATCTGCACATGACTCAGCTCCAGGTAGGTCAGGGGCTGGAAAGGCAGGTGAGAGAATTGGCCCAGGAGAGGGTGTAGATGAGGTTTCAAAGCATTATTTGAATAAATTTTATGTATACATATAATATATATACACATATGTGCATGTGTATATGTGTGTATATATATTTATATTTATATATTTCAATATAGTCTTCGAGTACTTAAAACCTCTTCCAGTGGTCCATTTCCTGCTTATGAAGGATTCTGGTGGTAGAGATATGTGTGTATCCAAGCTGGTTTGGGCCATGGTAGAGAAGGATCCTTGAATAACTATTTGCTCCTAGGAATAGAGGGCTGGGACTGGGCCACCCCTTCTGTATACCTGGTGTAGCACCCAGCAGTCACCAATCAGTTTGTAGGCCTGTGCTGGGAGACAGGCTTATGTGGACTGGCCGAATCCCAGGTGGAAGCCAAGTGGTGAAATTTCAGCCTTTAAGGAAAGTAGCTAGAAACTTGTAAACAGTTATGGGAATGAGTTTTGCTATTTGAGAAACCAAAGAGTGCCAGGTCAGTCAAAGACAATGACCCATAGGTATGTTTCTTTCTCAAGGAATTGCAGTGTGCATCCCCAAGAATGTTGGAGAATTGCTTCTCGCACTGTCCTTTCTTTTATTTCCCTCCTCCTCCTCCTCCTCCTCCTCCTTTTACTGCTAGACTGGCTGGCCAGCTTAGTAACTTCGATCATTTTCTGCTCTTTCTCAAGGGATGCTGAGGAAGGGCAGTTTTCAGAAATAGCCATATGGCGGTGCAAAGACTATATCTTGGTATGCCCTGGCATCCCAGGTCAGAAATAAGTGTGCCTATAAAGAGGTCTTTTGTCTTTGGTCCCCTTCTTCTGTTCTGGCCCATCTCCTTCCTAATTGTTGCCCTGGGGCCTGGTGCCCTTAAGGTGCCCAAAGTTTACCCCCTCCTTAAGTTCTTCGCCAACACTAGCCCTCCCTAAGTGCTCCATTTTCCAGAATTACCTCTCCTTACTTCTTTTCCCACACCACCCATCCACTCAAAACTTCTCATCCCTCAGATGATCTCAGCTGAGTGCTAAGAGGACACCAATCAGATTTACCTAGTTCATACTAAAATGTAAAGTGCTTGTAAGTAGCCCTGAGTATGTGCATTTTTAAAGAGTGCTAGTTCACCCAAATAAATGTGCCACTGTGAAGACCTCAGAAACCATAAGGCAAAATGAAGGAAAGGATTTCATCAGCTTTGAGGGAGAGTTTGGGAAAGGGACTCCTGGAAAATGCCAGAGAGGTCACAAGCCTGTTTACTGCCAGACTCCCTCTCTCTTCCCCCAAACCAGGACCAATTTCCCAGTGCAGTGGGTGTCATGAAAGCCTCACCTCTAAGTGAGGTGAAGGAGAGTTAGGAGCCTCAATGTGTGAGCTATGGCCCTACGCAATGTGGCATTGATCTTTTCCTTCCAAGCATGGCTGGCAGCCCAGTGGTGCATGACCTCGAATAAACCCTCTTGCCTCATAAGAATACATGTAGTGTCTAATAATTATCCCAGAGCTTTCACTGGCCAGGACTAGAAGACCTTGTTTAGGTCTGTCAGGAGGTTTGAGTCAGAGCAGCTATTTACCCATTCTTCTTATGTTTCATGCATGGGCCAGAGGGACCTAGATCTAGGCCACAAATTCTTCCCTTCACACACCATCCACCTGGCTCCTCACTCCCTCCTTCCCTTCACCAATCAGGCCTTGGGTCCCAGCTCTTGGCTATGCTTCTACTCCACTGACGAGATCAGAGGGAAAGCCTGTCATCAATCCCCTCCTCTGACCTCATTCCTCATCTCCAACTCCCCAGCCAACAGTTCATTTTTCTTCAGGTAAAAGTACTCTGTGCGAAGATTTTAGATGAAGTATTTATGAAGGGTCAAATAAATTGTAAATAGTTTTTAAATAAAATGGAAATGCCTTCCCTGAGTTGTAGCTGATTATGCTTCCCTATAATCTATGTAACCTCAAGAGTAGGCCACACTGGTGGGCAAAGTCCATGACTGCAGTATACAGGAAGACCTGGAATGTCCGTTGTGTGTACATTTAAACAAAATTCCCAAACAACAAAGTGATTTGGGTGCTCCCAATATCCCACAAGGGGATTATGCCTGAAGTTCTTAGAGTAGTGCTTTCCTAAAGCAATTCCATGCTCTGGCCCTCCTAGAACAAGTCAAGTTGCATCAAGTTCCTACATATGATTTTTGAATGACTTTGGATCTGAAGCTGCCAGTAGGGAGCACACACAGCTACTCTAACTCTAGTTCTAAGGACACCTGAGAATGCTAGAATGGATCCATCCACCTCTTCAATTAAGGCTGGATGGAGTCTTTGCCTGCTCCGTTTGCCATTGTTAGGTGAGGTTTAACACCTGCTCATTGTCCTAATTGCTAATACTCTACTGGGTTAGTTACCTAGGGAGAGGGAAGGGAAGGGAAGGGAGGGAAAGAAGGACAGGACAAGAATGGGGGAAGAGGGAAGGATTGGGGAGAGAAGAGATAGGGAGGTTTGAAGGAGATGAAAAGGAGGGGAGGGAAAAGGAAGGAGAGTTGAAGGGGGAAGGAGAAAGAGAAGGGGAGAACTTGTCCTGGCCAATCCAGCTGAAAAAGGATTCCCAAGGGCCCCAGCTGAGTGGAAGAGCCACAAAGGATGCATAAAGCGGGAATCAAGTGACTTGTAAGGTAAGGACTAAGCTTGTCTTCCTTCGTGAGATGGTCACCAGTTGGGTGAAAAAGTGAAAAATACTTCTTAACACTCTGATTTATTAGGGGGTACCAGGGCTTCTCAGGATACAAAAAGCAATCCAGAAAGAAAAAGATTACAAGGGAACAGAGGGAAATCCAAACCATTGTTAAAAGTAGGGAGACGGGACACAGCAGAGAAATAAAAGCACCACCCCTGGATATCCTAGGGATGAGGTTCCTCTCTATGAGTAATGATTCTGGTCCTGTCTGCTTTGTAAGACACTAACCCAACAGACACAGTGACTAGCAAACCTAAGGAATCTTGCAGCTAACCTCAAGAGAAACATAGGATACTTTGTAGAAGTAGATGAGCTTGGATATTAGGAGTCTGGGCAAAACATCTCTCAAGAAGAAAAGAACCTCAGAGATCAAAGAATGGAACTGTGTGGCTGTGTAAGAGACCCTCTTAGCTGTCAAGCACAGGAGAAACCCCCTGGGTTTCTATCCTGAGGGAGACCTCTACTATCTTAGACATTCCCTGCCCTACCAGGACGTTCTGATGAGATTAACTGCAAAGAAAATATCCCCATTCTAATGGACCTGATCTTGGGGAACTCCTGAAAGCCCCAGGGTTAACTAACATTACAGCACCAAGGTTAGCACATCCTCCCCCAAATCACCTGACATCCTGTCCCTATTACTCAACTTCCCAAATAAAGTAACAGAACTTCACCACTTTGTAGGCCAATTAAAACTTTTCATTTTCCCATATAATGTCACCCAGAACTGTGCAACAGTCTACACAAGCATTCTTTCTTGGCTTAGTCATTGCCATCCAAGTGGTCCGCCAGCTGGTCACACTATGAAAACCCATTTTCTTATATTTTAGCTTTGCTTTTGATTGAGTGACCTCCACCCAAATGGACCAAGATTGGAGTAATTATTCCCCAAGAGGGCCTTAGACTTTCTGGGTTGAGAAATTCCCCAACAATCTCAGGGTGACCTCACTGAGTGCACAGAGGTGATCAGATCTAGGCCAGCTACTGATATCAGGAAATGTATTGTCTTTCTCGAGCCATTACCCAAGATGGGGCTGAGAACCTAATTCATCAAGCACAATGACCACCACTTGGTCAATCAGAAAGAACCTGGAACGAGCAAATGAGAAGTCCTGGAGAAAAAAGCACTTGGAGACCCAGCTCTTTTCTTCCGTCAGATGGTCATGACCTTATAGGAAGGGAACTGCTGGCTATGTAGTGAAAAAGAACAGGATTTGGTTTCTTGGAACACACCTTACATATTAGATAAAAATAAATAGAACAGGTGCAGCTAGGTGGTGCAGTGGATAGAGCTCTGGCCTTGCAGTCAGGAGTACCTGAGTTCAAATCCAGCCTCAGACCAAACACTTGACACTTACTAGCTGTGTGACCCTGGGCAAGTCACTTAACCTCACTCAAGTCACTCAATTGCCTGGCCTCCCCCCCAAAAAAAAATACAAAGAAAAATACATAGAACAGACAGAATGAGGATCTCCAAATAAGAAGGGACCTCAGAGACCTAGGCATTTTCCAATCTATATCTGAATAAGAACCCCTCTAAAACATATCCAACAGGTGGCCATCCAGCCTTCAAACATTCAAAGGCAGGCTGCCCCACTCGTGGATAACTATAATTGATAGAAAATGGTTTCCCACAAGCCTATGCCTGCCCTGCTATATGTCTACTCATTACTCCTAGTACTGAACGCTGGGCAAAGAGAAGAAGCTTAACCCTTCTCCCACAGGGCAAACTTTAAAAGTCTTGAAAATAGCTATCATGGGTCCTATCAAGGAAGACTTTTCTACTGCAATTTTTTTTTCAATCAATCAATCAACAAGCATTTAAGCATCTACAATGTACCAGGCACTGTACTAGGCATTAGGGGTACAAGTATAAGGAATGAAACAATCCGTACTCCCAAGGAGCTTATATTATAATAGGGGAGAGAAACACATGTACCTGCATACATACACGACACGTGCCATATTTATATGTGTATGTATGTATACATATATATATATATATGTATCACTATCAATAAATATAAAAATAGTTCCAATACACGTAGTTTAGGTAAAGAGCATTAGCAGTTGGAGGAATTAGGAAAGGCTTCATGCAGATTTTGCCTGAGCTGTGTCTTAAAGGAAAAGGAGGGAGAGCTTTCCAGGCATGTGGAAATTAGATAATGCTAAAGTACAAAGACAGAAAGTGGAGTCTGAGGAACAGAGAAGGCTGATTTGGCCAAACTGTAGAATGTGGAAAGGAGAATAATGTCCAACAAGGCCGGAAAAAACAGGTTGGGCAAGTTGGCTTTAAAACTGAAATGAGGGGTTTATATTTTATCCCAGCTGCAATAGGAAGCAACAGTTGTTGAAAGAGTGGGAAATCACATGGTTAGATCTATGCTTAAGAAGGATTATTTTGGCAACGGCATTTGGGATGGACTAGAATGGTACAAGAACGAGGCAGGGAGACCATTAAGGAAGCTGATGTAATAATCTAGTTGAAAGATTGGATACAAGAAATTGTGGAGGTAGAAATGGCAATATTAGGAAACAGTTTCAATGTGTTGGGGTTTGGAAGAATGAGGAGTCAAGGATGATGTCAAGGTTACAAACCTGGGAGACTGGACAGTGGTGCCTTTACCAGAAAATGGGAAGTTTAGAAGATAAGTTCTGTTTTGGGCATGTTGAATTTGAGATGGCATCCAGTTTGCAATGTTCAATAGGAAAACGATGGCGCAGTACTGCAGCTTAGCAGGGACTGGGGCTGAATATACAGATCTGAGTCATCTTCAAAGAGATGATAGTTAAAGCGACCAGAGATGATGAGTTACTAAGCAAGAGTATATAGAGGGAGGCGAGCCTAGGACAGAGAACCCCAAGGAACACCCAGACTTGGGGACATAACATGGATGAGTCAGCAAAGGAGACAGAAGGAATAGAATCGGAGGGAAGAGTGTCATGAAAACCCAGAGTGTCCAATTTTCTACCAATCTTTATGCGCCATTTTCTTGAGAACCTTTACCATCTTGGTTGCCTTCCTCTCGCTTCTCTCCAGCTTATCAGTGTCTGACCAAAGACATGATGCCCCAAACAGAACCCAATAGTCTAGAAGTAGTCTGGCCAGGGAGGAATACAGCAGGACTGTTGCCCTCCCTTGGTCCTGGGACATTATGCTTTCTGAATGTAGCCTAAGACTACATTAGGGTTTCTGGTGGCTCTATCATATTCTAGATTCATATTGACCTTGCAAGGACACTAAGACCTCCAGATCCTTTTCAGCCAAACTGCAATCTAGATCTATACCTTCCCCATCTTGTGCTTGTGAAAATGCTTTTGGGGAAAAAAAAGTTAAAGACTTTTATGTTTACTAAATTTAATCTTTTTAAATATATGGACCAGTAATCTTGCCTGCTGAGATCTTTATTGGATCCTGATTCTGAAATCCAGCATATTAGCTATCCTTTTTAGCTTTGTATCATGTGCAAACATGGTAAACAAGAATGGGAAGATCCTATCTGGCACATTACAAATAGATTCTATGAAGAAAAACAATGTACTGCATAAGGCACTCGGGTGCAGAAATCACTTAAGTCCTATCCCAATACTCGGTCAGGGGGAAAGGTGACCTTGAGTACTCCAAGTTTAGGACAATGGACCAGGAAGCTCTGGCAAGTTCTCCCAAGTCAGAGCTTCAAGTACAGAATATATGTTCAAGCCAAATTTGAAAAGGTCCATCAATAGGTTAAGAGGAGAAATGAACTCTAAAATTCAGACCATTAAGGTTGGTGTCATGAAAGGAATGGGACTTCTAGGATGAAGTGATTCTATCTCCTTGAAATTTGTAACTGTGAAGGAAGAGAATACTGGATGTAGTTAGGTGTGTACCCTCAACTTTAAAAAAGCAGGTGGCCAGCAATTCACAGAAATTGATCCAATGGCCAACGTCTCTAAAAGGGAATTCTGCTTAAAATAATAGCATTTATACAGCACATTTAAGATTTGCAAAGTACTTGTTTGCTCTTCACAACAACCTTGTGAGGTAGGTGTTATCACCCCCATTTTAGAGATGAGGAAACTGAGGTTTAGAGGTTGTGATTTGCCCAGACAGTATCTGAGGCAGAATTTGAACACAGGTCTTCCAGGATATAAGTCCAACACTCTATCCATGGCACCACCTAACTGTCCCTGAAAGGGAT